CACGATATAGTAGCGATACTGTTGATCCCGTGTGGTGTGTTGCAGGAAGCTGAAAAGGCGCTTCACGTGGTGGCCATGTGAAAGTTGCCTCTTGGCAGACGCTCCTTCTCTCTCCCCCACCTCTCTGTCTCTCGATAGTTTTCCAGGGTTTCTCAGGTAAGATTTCTTACGAGAGCATCTTCTCAGCTGCGTAAGAACGTGAGAGAGAGCCCGCTTTCGTTTCCTCCTTCTTCCTTTCACGACGCTAACGCATTCCGCTTTCCCCTCGATTCATACAGGAGTCATCATCCTCTTTCTTCCTTCTTCTGGTGTTTTGTCTTCTTTCTTTTCACCTTTATTCATTTTTCTTTTTTTCTGTTTCTTTTGGTCGGCTCTTTTATGGTCGATTTTATTGCCGTGTTGGTAGATACCTGGTCGAATCTTGTTGTTCCTGAAAGAGATGGTTTAATCAGGTTAGGTGTCTTTTTTGGTTATCTGGTGCCTCATTAGCTAAAAGGTTATGTTTGAACTGATTAGGATGTTTCCTGTCTCTCCTTGTTACCTTTCTTCTCCTTCTGGTTCTCTGGTTTACGGCTCCCTGTTAGAAAGTAATCTCGCGTCAAATTATTATGTAAATATAAAACAACTATTCAGCCATGACGTGAATTAAATTTAAAAGAAAACTGAATAGTATAAAAAAGTAGAAAATTAAGGAATCATTTTTATTAAAAAACGAGTGAATGTTTGTTGTTTAATCGAGGAAATTTGGGAGGCTAGAAATTTCGGATCTAAGATTTTAGACGGTAACATGTTTCAATGGTAACGGCAACGTGACTTGTAATTTACGTTTATGAAAGTGCGTATGCTCGTTTTGAAATCTAAAAACGTAAATCTAATCTAAAAATAACCGCTTGCTCATCTATTGTCAATTCGCGAGACCGGTAAGAAGTAAGTAGTACAATTTACAGTTAATCGAATCGAATGGCAGAAATACAGTCGAAACAGTGTTTGCTATAAAAAAAAATTACGAAATATTCGATAAACTAATTGCTTGTTTTTTTGAACATTAATAAATCAATGATTTTATTATGACAAAATGAATTTCAATGGAATGTATAAAAATGGTCAGAATTATTTGTTAATGCATTAAAAGGAGAAGCAAAGTTTATTTCGAAATAATACGAAATTTTTTGTTAAAATTAAAAACATCTTTGTCTATAGTTTTTAGGCATTTAATTTAAACATATTACAATATTGCTTAATTTAAGCAAAAGAAGGTCAAAAAATTAATTAACATTAGAAAATAGTAAACATTTCGAACGTTGACCAAAAAATCTATTTTTCTTTACCGAAACAAGTGGCGCCCTCTAAATAGTACGAATAACCACGAGTCCGCCATATTTAAAAAATATATTGTAAACCAGATGAATCTTGAACACTCGTTAATATATCTTTTCATAGATTTTCTTTGCGCCACTGTAATATCAACCAACCGAATCATTCTGCACGTTCTATATTTCATTTCCTAAGTACTTGCTCCTCTCGAAATTTCGCAAAATCGGCATGTCGAGGTTGGCGAAGAAAATTCTAGATAGCTGGGATTGGTTCCAGCAGATACTACACATTCCATGACCTCCTCTTGCACTCATTCTCGTTTTGAAATACGTGCAACCCGTGTGGGGAGTGACCGCAAGTCATCTTCATCATCGGTTGATCATGTTAAATACATCCAGTAATAATATTTCGTACTGCATAATATTAATAAGTTACGTTCATGATTAATTTACTAATTAATGTTTTTCTTATAAAAACTATTTTTCTATGTACATACATGTATAACGAAAATTTCTTATCGTAATGTTATTCAATATTTCCGAAAATATCGAATATTTTTCGTGTAAACATAACGAAATATATGAATATTTCCTTCGTACGAAAAAGAATTGTGAATAATAGAATGAACAGTAATTGTACGATATCATACTTTCCAATATTCCATTATACCCCCTTAATAATTACATATTATAGGTTATAGAAATCGAGAAATGGCGTGTTCATAATCACGTTCATACACTTTCTTCAGAGTTAGATTATTATGTAGATCATAATTCACTTATGAGATATAACGCTAATTGCAACAACGAAAGGCTGTGAAACATGGAAACTGTGTCAAACGAAAATTAAGAAATCACCCTCCATTCATTGAAAGTCACGCATCTAACGATTAATATTTAAAACAATGGACAATAATTACCTAGCCCGTTTACTGAATTTACTTGTCAGCTATTAAGCCTAATTGGCAGTTATCTTCATTTCACATCTAAGTTTCTCTTAACACAAATTCGACGAATATCGAGAATGGAAACGTTTTTCCTCCAAGTTAACTTCCTAATGTGAATGGGACTAAGTAGGTACTGATCGATGTGAACTGATCGATCTTCCCGATTCGAAATGACCGACCAACGTCCCCAGTCGGGCGTACAGGTTACACGGTATCGTAGATGCTGAATAAGAAAAAGGAAAGTAGAGAAACGCAATTGGTATTTTGCTATTATGCAGCTTATCGGCTCGTCCGGGAACGTTTATTGGCCTTTTGACCTTAGCTTTCACTCGATTAGGTTCTCTTCTTCCTTGTTTCACTGCACATATACACGTGTTGCATCTAACCTATTCCGTGGCTATTTTGTATTTATTCATTCTTATCGGTTTCATTGTCGCCAGCATTATGATCGTCATTATTACACAAGAAATTACCGCTATGCAACGTTATACTGAGGAAAACAAAATTGAAACGTGATTGTCGACTCACAGATCGAGAAATGTCGTTTAAGCCCAGCTTCATTAAGATTAAGATTGGGTTGTTTGCATAATTATCTTAATTTCGTGCAAGTTACTCAACCGGTCTTAATCGCGGCAATTATGTACAACATGTGATAAACATTGTGATGACAAGTGGAAGATTTATAAGTGCATCGTAAAATTGATTTCTTTTCACTATTATATCCGTATAATATAATCAAGATTCGTCAAGGTTAAGAATCAAAAAATGTGTATAGCTTCAATTACAATAAATTGAATACTAAACTTTTAATTAATATATTATTTAAACATTTGGTATGAAATTTTTTAATTTTGTGTGAGTTTTATAATATAATTTCGTTCTTTTGTATTCGTTGTATTATTATAGTATATTAATAATTGTTTCGAAGTAAAGAATTTTTATGAAACATTATTTTTTAATAAAAATGTTAATTCTAATTTTCCCGGCTGTCCCCTAACATCCGTAGCGTCGGTCTAGAATGAGTATTCAACCGGACGCGACTCCAGGTGGTGGATAGAAGAACGGCTAGACGGAAGGACAATCCTTCATGTCAGCGCCGTCCCGAATGCCATTAGGTATCGGTCTTCCATGTGTTTGGAATCTGGACCTGCGCCAAATTAAACTTGAACAGTGGGGCTAGGAGCAAGCACATCTGTATCTGCAGTGACAGCCAAGTTGTTACACAAGAAAACACTTAGTATGTATAGCTAGGCATGGAAGATGAACCACTGTGCCCTAGATGTGGGAAGGAGGAAGAAACACCACTGCATCTAATTAGGCAATGTGAAAGATTAGAGGTCACACGACTAAAATGCTTAGAAACCCAAAAATAGGGGTTATCTTGATTAAAGGGTTTCTACTCTTCCCGCAAGAGGTCTCAATACCTAGGCATCCTATATAATAGGACAGCTTTTAGTCCGGGGTCCTTTAGGATTGTGTGCCCAATGTACCCTTTTAGCAATAGATACATATGTAGATAGATAGTGCTAATTTTAGGGTGAATCCATTTAATTAATGTTGAATGTTTTTTATATTAATTCATTTCACTATCTGTTATAAATCACTAATGAAATTATTCATGGGTGAAAAAGTTAAACTGCTGTATTTTTATCTAGACATTAATTCGAAGCCATTATGAAATTACAGATTACATA